GTGGGCGTCTTGACGCCGCTGCGGGAGGTGAGAACGAAGCGACGGGCGCCCCGTTCCGCCATCCAGTACATCAGCTCGAGGCCCATGCCGCCGAGGCCGCCGGCGATGATGTAGGACTTGGCCGGGTGGAAGTACGACTTGGGAATGGCCTGCACGGAGGTGGTCGGCGACGGAAGTAGGCCTTTCTTCTTCTTCTCTTCTTCCCCGCCGCCAGCAATGTCGACCACCACCTTGCCGATGTGCTTTCCGGTGGACATGAAGCGGAAGGCCGCCTCCAGCTGCTGGTAGGCGAAGACGGTGGCGGGCAGCGGCTGGACGACGCCGCCGGCGATGCCCTCATTGAGGAGGCGCCAGATCTGCTGGCGCTCCCTCGTCGCCTTGGGCGTCAGCAGGGCGCCGTGGCCGCCGTCGGGGAAGAGGCGGTCCAGGTGGACGCCGTGGAAGGTCTTGTTGCGGAGGAAGTGGCTGCTGTCTGCAGGGGGAAAAGGGTAGATTAGAGAACTTCTAAGAAAATCCTTCTCCAAAACTCACCCATAAAGTCATCATTCATAAACTGGTACTTGCCAATCTCGCAGAAACGGCCATTGTCCGCCAGACAGCGCAACGTCGCCCAGAACATGTCGTCGGTGAGGGAGTTAAGCACCACATCCACGCCCCTTCCTCCCGTCTGCTGCAGGACCATCGTCTCGAAGGAGGTGTCGCGGGTGGTGCCGATGCAGCCCTTTTCAATAGCGGGGTAGGTGGTGGCCAGGAAGCGGCGCTTCTCCTCGGTGCCCGCCGTCACAAAGAGGCGACAGCCCAGAGAGAGGGCAATGTTGATGGCTGCCAGGCCGACGCCCCCCGTTCCCGCGTGAATGAGCACCGATTCGCCCTTCTGCAGCCGCCCCCTGATCAGCAGCCCATAGTAGGCGGTGGCGTAGACGACCGGCACGGTGGCCGCCTGCAGCAGCGACCACTCATCGGGCACCGGCCAGAGGAACTCCCGGTTGGCGATGATGCTGGTGGCCATGGCGCGGCTGTTGGCGAAGCCCATCACTCGCTGATGACCACCTCCAGCACTTCCTCCACTTCCGGCAATGCGACCGGCAAACTCCAGACCCAGGACGACGTCGTCCCAGGCCATGCGGTCGCTGACGTCCGCCGGTGACATGCGCGCGGTGGCGATCATCACGTCGCGAAAGTTCAGCGCCGCCTTGCTCACCTCCACCAGAATCTGATTCGCTTTGGGGTTGTCCGCGGAAAGGCCCTCAGGGCCTAGCTTGTAGATGGTGCAGGCGGCGGCCTTGTCTTGTTTAATCGCCCCCTCGAAGCCCAGCGAGCTGAGCGGCTGTTTCACGAAAGGGCGGAAAGAGGAGAGGTCGCCGGTTTTGGTCTGGCGGAGCTCAAAATCCGTCACGCCCTCTCTCAGCTCGGGCGTCTCGCAGAAGGTGATGTGGCGGTAGCTGGCCAGTACCACCTTCCCTCCGTCTTCGATGAAGGCGTTCTGCAGGAGCTGCGTTCGACGGGCAATTCGAAGGGCCTTCTCTAGGGTCATCCCACTCTCCCTCTGATCAAAGAAGAGGTACTTCGCCTTGTTGCGGCTGATGTCCTTCGCCAGGCCGCGCGTCAGGCCGACGATGCCGGAGAGCGGATCGCTCGAGTGGATCCAAATGCGATCCACCGCCTCGTTTCGATTCGCCGCCTTGAGCACCTCCAGCCAGTCAAGGTTGTCGTTGCTGATCTCGATTACCTCCTCCTTCTGCCGGGCCACCTCCACGTGGTCGACCTTGCGGAAGAGCACCGTACAGGCGGTGAAGCCGTCCGACTTGCGGCCGACGTACGTCAGACCGGCCTCCTCGGCGAACTTGATGAACTGCTCCAGGAGAAGGTGGAAGGACTCGCTGCGGTAGGGGGTGAAAAGGGCCTCCAGGGGGTGAACTGATTCGCGGAGAGCGGCGAGGAGGAAGCCATTGGGAGCGAGGGCCGTCTCCACCGACCGGAGGAGCATGTCGTAGTCGATGCGCGTGGCCAGCTGGTCCAGGGACACCGCAGGGTCGCGGTAGATGATCAGCTCCTGCTGGTCCATCTCCCGGTAGGGAAAGCGGGACTTGGCCACCTCGAAGGGGTGAAAGGTCAGAAGGTGATTTCCGGTGATCTCCTCGGGCAGGGCGGCCACCTCGGGGTGGGCGATGGAGTAGATCAGGTTGGCCATGTTGAAGCTGAAGAGCGGGCGGCCGATGATCTTCACCAGCTTCGGGTAGAGCAGCTGGGCGCTGGTGTTGATCTCCAGGACGTTCAGCTTATTGTAGAGGTTGATGTTCTCCACGACCACGTCCAGCTGAGTGCGGAAGAGGCGGTCGGAGGTGAAGGTGGAGTGGAGGAGGTCGCACTCCAGCTCGGTGGTGAAGACGGGCGAGGGCGGAAGTGGACATCGACGACCAGCCGATCCAGCGGCGGCTGTGGCCAGCGCCACCGGGTCGGCGCGGCTGACCGCCAGCCACAGGCCGCAGTTCTTCGCCTTCAACTGAGCCTCGCTGAGCTGGGGCTTCTTCTCGCCGCCGGGGCTGCTGTTTAACAGCTGCTCAATGTCCTCGACGTAGCGGTTGATGGTGGCCCGTGTTTCGCGATCAATGCCGTCCGCCTCGTCGTAGCCGATCGCCTCGTGACTCTCAATGACCAGTTCGGCGTTGCCCAGCTCCTCCACCTTCCGGGCGATGGGCTTGAAGGAGGCATTGAGCACCTGGACGCCGGCGGCGTGAATCAGCTTGCAGGCGCGGTCGAGGCGGACGTCGCTCACATGCAAAGCTTCTCCTGCTCCAAACTCACTTGATGAACGAAGGCCCGCCTGGATCGCCCGCGGATCGATCTGCATCGACTCAATCAGCGTGGGGACATAAAGCAGGCGGAGCGTCTGCGTGAGGACCGAGCTCTGGAGGACGGCATCGAGGTAGGTGACCACATTGTCGGTCCAGCGAACCACGGCCGCCGAGGAGTCGTCGCGAATCTGGAGGACATTCTGGAAGGCCTTGCCGAAGTGGTAGCCGCGGACGTGAAGCTCGCGGTAGAAGGACTCGCTGTCGAGGAGGAGAGTTTCAGAGTTTGAGTTGCTGTTCTTCTTCGGCTCTTCAACAGGCTTGATGAACTTGAACTTGGGATCGAGCGGAAAGATGAGTCCGGTGGCGCAGACACTTCCGTTTGCCTCCACGGTGAAGGCGCCCGTGTCGGCGAAGTAGTGGCACCTGAAGGTGGTGACCGCCGCCTGCGACAGCTTCGTCGCCCGGCTGATGTTCACCTTGCGCAGGTCGACGGGGAAGGCGAGGTAGTCAGGGGCGGCGTACCAGCTGGCCACCGCCCGCCAGGCGAGGTAGAGGTAGGCGGTGCCCGGGTAGAGGACCAGGCCGTCGACGGCGTGGTCGGCAAAGTGGGGGTGGGTGGCCAGGGAGACCTCCTCGGTGTAGACGGAGCGGGTGGCCTTGCTGGGGCAGAAGTACTGCGGGTAGCGGGTGACGAAGCGCGGCTTGGAGTGGTCGTAGCGGAAGATGGGCGAGAGGAACTCGGTGTGCCGGGAGACGGGGTAGGACACGGCGGGGTAGAGACACTTCAGCTGGACTGGCTGGCCGGCGGCGTACAGCTGGCCGAGGGCGGTCAGGAAGTGGCTGATGTTGTCCACTGTGGCTGCTGATTTTCCTCCTCTTCGCATGAGGCCCACGTAGCGAATGTCCTCCTCGGCGCGGAAGCTGCGGCTGATCGGCGAGCGCAGCTGCGAGCTGGGGCCCACTTCGAGGAGGAGCGCCTGGCGGGGGGCGTGTCTGAGGGCCTGGTAGAAGCGCACCACGTGGAGCATGTTCCGGCCAAAGTAGGCGGCGCCTGGGCGGCGGCACAGCTCACTGCCCGCCCAGTCGGCCTCCTCGAAGGAGGTGGAGAGGAAGCGGGCGGTCCGTGGGCGGCCCTTAATTTGTAGTCGCTCAAAGGCGGGCATGAAGGTGCGCTCAAAGGAGTTCCGCAGGAAGCGGGTGTGCGTGGTCAGCCGATTGGTGGCGATCCGTTGCACGAAGATGCCACGCCCCTGAAGCAAACTAATCAGCCGCTCCATGTCCGCCTCATTGCCCGCCATGGTCACCAGGTCGACGGCGTTGACGCAGGCGACGTCCACGGTGCCGAAGCGGAGGGAGAGCGCCTCCTCGAAGGGCAGCTCCACGGCGGCCATGACACCGGGAGTGCGGGCGCGCATCGCAAACACCTCTCGCTCCACGGTGAGGCCAATCTGGAGGGTCTCCTCGCGGCTGAGGCAGCCGTCGGCGTAGGCGGCCGCCACCTCGCCCACCGAGTGACCGACAATGCCCTCGGGGGTGATGTTCAGCGCCTGGAGGGTGTCCACGAGGGCGATCTGCACGACGACGATGGAGAGGACGATGGGCTGCGCCTCCTCCTCGATTTCTTTCTGATCTTCTTCCAAGAGAAAGCGGCGCATCAGCGCCCCGTCGTAGCCCAGCGAACTGAGGTACTTGATGCAGTGGTGGATGGAGTTGGCAAAGGGCCGCAGCGCCATCATCTCCCTCGCCATGGACGGCCACTGGCAGCCGAGGCCGCTGAAGATGAACCAAAGGGGGCGTTTCGATTTTGATTTCACTCCTTCTCCTCCACCAACAAAGACGTCCTGCAGGTGACGCCCGATCACTTCTCGTTGACTGTTCACTAGAAGGTAACCGCGGGCGGCCATGCCCGCCTCAGGTCGGTAGCCGGAGATGTCATTCAGCAGGGCGAGGTACTCGCGGGTGATCTTCGGCAGAGCCGCCTCCACCTCGGCCATCGTCTCCGCCAGCGTCTTGGTGTTCCGCCCAAAGAGCAAAATGAGTCGGGGGAGGGCGGCCGTTGCGATCTGAAAGTCGTCCTCCGGGCGGCTCTTCGGGAAGGAGTTCAGTATGGCGGAGGCGTTCCCGCCGCCGATGCCAAAGTTGTTCATGCCGACGATGCCGCCCTCGAAGGTGGTCACCTCGGTCGGGACGTAGTAGGTGCCGTCGGTCAGCGCGGGAATGGCCGGATTGGGCACCTCGTAGTGGATGTTGGGCGCCAGCTGGCGCGTCTGGTAGGCGATGATCAGCTTGGCGATGGACACCAGCCCCGAGGCGGCCTCNGGTGAGCGCGGGAATCGCCGGATTGGGCACCTCGTAGTGGATGTTGGGCGCCAGCTGCCGGGTCTGGTAGGCGATGATCAGCTTGGCGATGGACACCAGCCCCGAGGCAGCCTCTGCGTGCCCGGCGATGCTCTTGATGGAGCCGATCATCAGCGGAGTGGAGCGATCCACGGCGATGGCCTCCTTGATGGACCGCAGCTCGCACTTGTCGCCCGCCTGCGTCCCGGTGCCGTGGGCCTCGAAGTAGGCGAGGTCGGCGCCGTTGATGCCGGCGTTGCGCATCGCCGCGAGCATCAGGTCGCGCTGCGTCTCCCAGCCAGGATGTGTAAAGCCGTCGGCCTTGTAGCCGTCGGCATTGCAGTGCATGCCCAGCACCTCGGCGTAGACGCGTTTGGCCTGGGAGCGACGCTGCACTACCAGGACGATGGCGCCTTCGCCTGAAAAAAGGCAGTGGTGAAATAGAAGTTTGGTTAGGTTCGTGAGTTCTAAATGAACAGTGGTCAAACCAAGTGCTCTTCTTACCTTTGACGTAGCCGGTGGCCTTCTCATCGAAGACGTGACAGGTGGAGTCGTGCGAGAGCGTGTTAAAGTCCACCTGCCACATGACCTTCGTCGGGTCGAGAGTGATGTTCACCCCGCCGACCAGCGCCTGGTCGCAGAGGCCATTTCGAATGGAGGCCACCGCCAGGTGGAGGGCCGTCAGGCTGGTGGCGCAGCCGTTCTCCAGCCAGCAGGCGGGCCCCTTCAGGTCGAGGGCCTCGTGGATGCGCGAGGCGTGGTGCTGGAAGATGCTCCCCTTCGCCTCGAAGTCGTCCTTCAGCGCCGACTGCACCTGGTCGACGAAGCTGCCCCAGAAGTAGCCGGTTCGGGTGCCGCGAATCGCCTCGGGGAGGATGCCGGCGTCGAGCAGCGCCGAGTGGGCCTCCGTCATCATGATCCGGTCCTGGGCGTCCATCAGGTCGGCCTGGTCGTCGCTGTAGCCGAAGAGGTCGGCGTCGAAGTCTTCCAGCTGCGGCACCTTGCCCATGCCGGTGGGCAGGTTGTAGAGGCCTGCATGAAATGCAGGAAATGCGAGGAGTTTTAGAACGTTGAAAAAGAAGTAGAACACTCAAATCCACTTACCGACTGGCCATCGGCTGCTGTCGTGACGGATGAGGCACTCGCCGGCGAGGATCCGCCGGCGGAAGGTGTTGATGTCTAGGCAGTCGGAGAAGCGGCCCGAGATGCCGCTGATGACGATGCTCTCCTCCTCCTCTGTCGCGTCGCGTCCAACTGGGATCGTCTTGGCGGGCATCTTCTTGATCTTCTTCTCCTTGAACTTGAGAGGGTTGAAGTTGAAGTTGCAGAAAGGTTGCAGCGATGCTTAGATGTTTAGATTTGCGTTTTGAAGAATTAGAGGACTTTAATCAATCAAGCGCAGTCTAGCTGCTTCTCGGCCTCCCTTTATACCCCTCTGAACTGATGGATTCAGATGATGGCTGATCATGATCGTCTGTTTTTTCCTCGTTACCTTCTCCGAAAATAGACAGGTGGAACTTTCCTCTTGGGTGCGCTATATTTGTTGTTGTTGATTAAGTTGATTTGAAATATGTTCACGTCGATCGACTTAATTAAATTACTGCCTCTTTTAGATCTGCTTACCTGATTTGACTTGGCCTGCTTTTCCCTGTTCTGGAGAACATGGTGCGAACTCTAACCAAACCGTTGGCCAAATCGTCTTCCAACTTTCAAGGACGGCCGCTTTTGGCGCTTATCAAATCAGCGAGAATGTGGCCGGGAAAGAACCAGCAGCAGGCAGCGGAATATTTTCGGAAAGGAAAGTGCCGCCGCTGCCGCAGTAGGAGCAAACGGCGACGAGCACCAGCAGCACTACCACTACCACCGTTATTACGTCACTTATTAAGTGTCGGGGGCATTCACTCCACCACGCACCAGAGGTGGCCCCACACTGAATAAGATACAATCCCACTGACAGAGACAGCAGGCGACCAAGTGCTGATTTGCCTGAGCTGCTTGCTTGCCACTTGTGCTCATCTTAAGCGACGCCAGATGGCAGATCAGATGCCATTCTGCGCTCGAGTGAGAGAGCCAGAGCGGGAGATTGCGCTGTTCAGGCGCACACTTTGCCCGCTCTCAAAACACCAACTTTTTGCTGTTTGGGCACGGCCGCACACGATGGGGCGCTTCACGAAGCGCTTCCTCCAGCAGTGCACCGGGAGCGGGGGCAAAGTTTGGATTTCACGTCGGCGAAACATTCCGCCTCCTTTCCGCCTTCTCTCACTCTGCTGTTCGGCCATTTTGCGAGCGAGCGAGCGGGCTAGTGAGCAAACAGCCCGAGCAGAGGTTTGCGCGTTTGTTGGCTACGGATTGGCTCTACAGCAACAGCAGCAGGAGAGGCAGCCGCAGCAGCAGCAGCCAGGCCAGGCCAGTCCCGCCAGCTTCTGCCGATCACCTCAGCAGCTCGCCTCCGCGCTACTACCTTTTGTAAGCGCGTTGTCGCCACTTTCAGGTTGACAAAACCACCACCACCAACAACGAGGTTTGTTTTGGTCTCCAGCTCCTTCATCCCACCATCTCACCATCACCGAATGTATCATTGCCTCAGTACTCATCAACAACTGTNACATCAGTCAGTCAGTCAGCATGGAAGCTAGGTTCGTCTGACAGCAGCAGCAGCAGCAGCAGCAGTTCAGCTTACCAGTGTTTTCACGTTTGTGTGTTTTCCTCCTTCTCCTTCCTTCAAACAGCCTCGGANCCATCAGTCAGTCAGTCAGTCAGCATGGAAGCTAGGTTCGTCTGACAGCAGCAGCAGCAGCAGTTCAGCTTACCAGTGTTTTCACGTTTGTGTGTNTATCGAAAGTGATTCAGCTGTAAGCTAACCTGCCTGCCTGCCTGCTCCTCGGGGTCCACAGTTGCTGCTGCAGCAAGTGCTCTCACGCCGTCGTCATCTGATCCACAGAAGGTCATCACCATTAGTCAGTCAGTCAGCATGGAAGCTAGGTTCGTCTGACAGCAGCAGCAACAGCAGTTCAGCTTACCAGTGTTTTCACGTTTGTGTGTTTTCCTCCTCCTTCTCCTTCCTTCAAACAGCCTCGGAGTTCTCGGCAGCAGTGCTGCTGTTGAGCAGGGCTACGCCAACAACAATCCTACTGACGCCATGATGGGCCCTACTGCAGCAGCAGCAGCAGCAGCANTTTCACGTTTGTGTGTTTTCCTCCTTCTCCTTCCTTCAAACAGCCTCGGAGTTCTCGGCAGCAGTGCTGCTGTTGAGCAGGGCTACGCCAACAACAATCCTACTGACGCCATGATGGGCCCTACTGCAGCAGCAGCAGCAGCAGCACGACAGCAGCAGTTCCAGAGCCCGCCCTCTTATCAGGAGGAGGAGGAGGAACTGCCGCCCTTCGTCGAGGAGACCGTTCAGCCGGTGAATGGCATCGTGCAGCCGCCCTTTGTGCCGCCACCACATAAGCCCCATCGAAACACCAACAAGCTGCAGTTCATCCTGCGCATTCTGAATCGGAACATACTGAAGCACCAGTACGCGTGGCCTTTCCAGTCGCCGGTGGACGCGATAAAGCTCGCCCTTCCCGACTACTACAAGATCATCACCAGGCCGATGGACCTGGGGACGATCAAGAAGCGGCTCGAGAACTACTGGTACTACTCGGCGCAGGAGTGCATCGACGACTTCAAGCTGATGTTCGATAACTGTAACCGCTACAACAAACCGGGAGAAGATGTGGTGTTCATGTGCAAGCAACTTCACGATCTGTTTAATCAGAAGATCAACTCCGACGGTATGCCCGAGGAGGAGATCGAGATTCCAATACCGAACCGGGGCGGCAAGGGAAAGGGCAAAGGCAAGGCGAAGGGTGGCCGTGGCAGAGGTAAGTGTCCCAACTTTCTATTTCTATTTCTCCACCACACGTGTCTTCATCATCATTTCTAATTTGCCTTTCATTTCTATTTGACTCTCCTCCAAACAGTGTCCAACTCTCTGCTCCCGCTGCCAGCTGTGGCGCCGGCTTTGCCCCCTCCTCCTTCCGCCGCAGTTCCAGTCAGTTCAGCCACGGTGACCGTAGCCCAGAAGACCAGCGTACCCTTGTCAGCACCAGTCAACAATGCTGCTGCTGCTGCGTCCATTCCTGGTAGTGTTCTAAATAGCAACAACAACACCTTCTCATCGTCATCATCCTCATCTTCATCAGTTCAAATTAACAACAACCTACCCCATAATCAACCAATAGATCAGCAAGCAGTGAACAAGCCGCCTGCCATCATGCAACAACCCTCACCAGCTTTAACCAATTCGAAATACCATATCCCCGCGTCTGTGATCGCCTCTCAACCGGCTCCTAATGCCTCCAAAAAGGGCATCAAAAGAAAGGCGGACACGACGACGCTAGAACCACCGAACTATGCGGCCGAGGCGCTGCCCGGCCACCCTGCTGGCGGCATGATCGCCAATGACGACGTCAAGCCAACTAAAATGTCGACTCGGCGTGAGAGTGGCCGGCCCATTAAGAAGCCCTCCAAAGAGCTGCCGAACTTGAACCTGCCAGGCGCTCCAATTCTCAAAAAGTCATCCTCAAAGAAGGGCAAAATGTCCGAGCGAATGAAGTACTGTGCCGGCATTCTGAAGGACCTGTTCACGAAGAAGCACGCCGACTACGCCTGGCCCTTCTACAAGCCGGTCGACGTGGAGGGACTACATCTGGACGACTACTTTGACGTCATCAAGAAGCCGATGGACCTGGGCACGGCCAAGGCCAAGATGGAAAACCGAGAGTACAGGAAGGCGGAAGATTTTGCCGCTGATATTCGCCTCATCTTCACCAATTGCTACAAGTACAATCCGCCGGATCACGAGATTGTCCACATGGGAAGGAAACTTCAGGTAGGTGGCTGGTGTTTGTATGGTAAAGCGGCAGTTCTGCTACTTTGCGCCATTTTAATGCTGATCTTGTGACATTAAATAATTTTTTTAACTTTATAGGACGTTTTCGAAATTAAGTANTTATGGTTAAGCGGCAGTTCTGCTACTTTGCGCCATTTACTGCTGATCTTGTGACATTAAATAATTTTCTTTTTAACTTTTCAGGACGTTTTCGAAATTAAGTACGCCAAGATGCCCGACAGTNGTATGGTAAAGCGGCAGTTCTGCTACTTTGCGCCATTTTAATGCTGATCTTGTGACATTAAATAATTTTTTTAACTTTATAGGACGTTTTCGAAATTAAGTACGCCAAGATGCCCGACAGTAGCGAGAACAGCGAAGACTCCGACAACTCTGGCTTTGTAGCGGAGAGCGAGCCAGCCAACTCGGACTCTTCGGAAAGTGGCTCCGAGAGCGGCTCTGACAGTGAGGCGGAGAAGGAACGTGATCGGAAGATTCAGAGCCTGCAGGAGCAGCTGAAGGAGATGCAGAAGCAGCTGGCAGAGCTGCAGAGCGCCAAGAAGACCAGCCAGGGACGGAAGGAGAGGCGGCGAAGGCGCAAGTCGACGCGGAAGCGCGAGCTCCTCGAGCGATCCTCCAAGAGCAATCACGTGAAGGACGAGCGGTCCTTTGAGGCGCAGCTCGATGTGGCCGGTCCCTCTGGTGTGGGCGGTCAAATGGCCCCAGCAGGAGGCGGTGGTGGCTTCCTCAACAATGAGATATCTTTGATAGGAGGGGCGGCGAATGCAGCGGCGGGTAAGTGTCAAATGCTGCT